AAAACAAGAAAATGTGGGAAACTGGGAAAAAATAGGGTATTGATTACATAATTTAATTAACTCTGCCTTTAAAATGAAAAGAAAAATATAAAATAAATAGTGACATGTCGTTTGGTAATTTTTCATTCTCTTTATCTCCCCTCTCTCAATTTTTCCATTTCTTGATCTCCTTTCTCTTATTAAATGAATTCAAGAATCAAAGAAAACAGGAAAAGAAAGTGGATTGGATGCTACCTCTTTTTCTTCTTTATTATTTCATTCATTTATATATCCAGAGTCCATATTCCATTTAGACTCTTTCATTTAAAGAATGAACAAAGAATGAGCCAGTTATATAAGACTGGCAGATAGGAAAAGAAGCCATAAAAGGGATGGGGGTTGGGAGTGGGGACTTCAACGATTTATATATTTTCCATCTATTTACTCATTTTTGAAGTTATTTGTATTTAATTTTATTATTTTGTTCTTCTGAAGTCCTCATTAAATGTTTATTATGGGAAGGAATTCTACATTTCTATTTCTTCTTTGAATTTTTATACTTATTTTGTGAACAAAAATGTAAAAGAACAAAATAATTTGAATAGGCTGCCAACAAAGAAATCCAGAGAGAATGGGAATAAGGTTAAAAAAATCATTGTATGGTTTGCTTCCCTACTCACACTTACTGTACATCCTCTAAAATACTTATCGTTTTTTTGTTCATAACTTAAATCTTTTTTATGTCAAGTAGAGAATTGAAATGAATAATCAACCACAAAATGAGTATGTTTCATTTTTTAATAATACAACTACTTCACTTTAAAAAAAAAAACTTTCTTAAGTAGTTTATTCCTTTTTCTAAAGATCCATTATATTTTAGAAAGGCTAACATAAAACACTGAAATTCTGAAGATTGGTCCAGAGCCATGGAAAGGTTATATTTTAATGCTGAATTAAAATGAACAAAATCATACTGTCATAAGATCAGAGATTAATTTTTACCTGTTCTTGGGTCCTATTCTTCCAGTATAACCACCTCTTTTTCCAATCTGGGCCTATCATGTTTTCAATTGCATTTTCAGCTAGAAACATTTTTAAAAAATTAATTCATCAGGAATTTTATCACTTACCACATACATAAATTATAAATAATAACAGTGTTGCTTTCTTAACTACTTCAAAGTACTATATCAATATGAAATCAGTTGAAATAAAGAAAACAAATTACATGATATGCTACAGATGTAAGAAAAATTTAATTATATATGTTTAAAATCTATAAAAAGTATAATTGCTTATAAAATTCCTATAAGTACAGTAGCAAACACACTAAAATATTTTGAATTATAGCTTTTTAGAATGAGTACATATAAATATCACATGTTCAATTTATTATTTTTAAGTAGTTACAAAGCAACTGACCAAAAAAATCCCATAAATAATATTCAATTATAGTATAATATTAATGGCAAATTGAAATGTTAATTATATTTTTACAAACATTCACTAAAGCTGGATGACTTCTTAATCACTCAGAATACTCGAGTCAATAACCTATGTCCCTCAATAACCCCGTGTCAATAACCCGTGACAGTAAGGACACTTACTATCCTTGAGACGAGCTTGAAGAGCCTCTTCCATAAAATAAATAGCTGCATCCCACTGCTGTTTATCAGATATGGACCGGTCTTCCAAAGCATTGTGCTGAATAACCCTCTGAAATAACAAGGAAAGAAAAATCTAATTAGTTTTTATGTCTCATCACTTTAGTAATTTTATTTAAATTGACATCTTAGTAAATACGCAAAATAACAGACATATCTAAAACAGCATAGAAGTATGTCCCTCCCATAAATATGTGGGAGCTCCTTTTATTTGCCTATTTGTCAGCTTTCTACCTAAAAAATAAACAGAGATTTTCTCCTGGCCCAAATTAAGTAAGCTAACCATCTCTAAAAGGGGTAGGAGATATATTAATATTATACATTTAACTACATAAAATGCAACACTCAGAACTCTAAAATTCAGGGATTATAATTCAGGTCATTTCCACGTCTCCTTTTTGCCATATGACCTATGTGTTAGCCTTTTCAAAAAAAAGAAGAGAAAAAAATGAACCATTATCTCGCTGGTAAGAGCAATGACAAAAAGTAACAGGGTAAATGCTTAAAAGGTCTAGACAATCATAAATGTTAGTTATTGATTACAATTGAAATTGGTCTCCAAGTTTTATAATTTTTGAGTGAATGAATGAAAATGGCACCATTCTCTCTCAGAAAGCCAGTATTAACAGGGCACTTACCAAGAATAAATGTGGTTTTCAAACATGAAAACAAACATTTCTTTAAAACAAAATTATAATTACAACCAGCCCACAGTGAGATATGTACTTTCCTAGAAAACTGCTCAATCTGGTGATTCAACAGTGCCTCTCCTAACTTTCTGAGCAAAGCAGGTGCTCAATAAATTTGATATGGTGGTGAGAACATTCTCCATAGCAAAAGATTTATTGGGTGGTGGTGGTTAGGAGCCAGGCTTTGTAATTAGAAAGGGCAGGGCTTGAATCCCAGCTCTGCCAATGACAGCAACAGAACTGCTTAAGAACTAAATCAATGCTTGCAAAATATTTAGCAGAGTTGCTGGCACATAGGAAGCATTCAATACATGACAGTTAGTATTGTGATTTTAGAAGTCTAACATTTTATGACTCAAATCACCGAAAACCAATGTATTTAGTTCTTTTCATTACCACAGAGGGTACAATTAGAAGTAACTATGTAGATATAAGCCCACGAAATGGCTAAAGGATGACAATTTGTGGAAGTTTATGGGAACCTGTTCACTGAAGTTTGGCTTTTTTCTGAAATGAAAGCCAAGAAAAAAAATAGCCAGCCGTGATTTCAGAAGGGCAGAGAAATTTAAAGGGGCAGATTACAGATCATAAATCTGTTTCTTTACTTATTTTAAATTCAGAATGTAATTTAAATAGTCTAATAAAAATAGTTTCCCGTGAAACAGTATTAATTTGATAAATTATATAAAAATTTGAGGCTGATATCCCAAATACAGACAACATACCAAGCTATCCTCTGCAAAGTCATTCCACTTGTGGCGTTTAATACTTTCCTCCTTAACAGCCTCTTTAAGTTTGTCAAATATATCATCATGCTCTTTCCCTTTGGGTTCTGTCATGAAGCGAGAAAATTCTTCTTGTAGGGTCTCCCAAGCAACCTAGAATTATTTAAAAGTTGCATTTATAATACATATTCTTATTTAATATGTAACATGGAAAATAACACATGAACTTAGATGTGATAAATCAGCTTATCAGAAAATACACATGCAACTACATTAACAAAAAGAACAATATAAACTATGGTAGAGGTCTCACACGGGTTGCTGATGGGACAGATTTGGCCTTCTGATGCATTTTGGTAGACATACACAGTGTTTTACATTTGGAAAATTAGTTGCCAATATTTAAGAATTGGGACTTCATATAAAAATCTCTATTTCCAGCTTCTCTTAAACTATCTGCGAATGGTATACCTATATTCCTACAAGACATCACCTGCTGGAGTGAACGGGGCTGCCTTCTTTAGGTAAGGTATGCTTTCTAAGTCTGCCACAGGACTTAGTTCACTTATTTATTTCAACCTATCAGACATTTCAGTTTGCCTGCTTCTTCCACATTTAAACTTTAAAATTTAAAAGCTCAAAAAAAAAAATTTCTTAATGATTTAATCATCTTCACATCTTTGTCTTTAAGCAAAGGTATGAAGCAATGCAACAATGTTTTCAAACACAGCTATGTATTATTCAGCTTTATATTATAGCTAACTACTAATTATTGGAGCGGAGAGGAAGAGCAGTGTCAAAAATAATTGAGAACTAAATCTACTTAAAATTAAGTAGGCTTTTTAATGTTGCATTTTATATTTAGCCTTCCCTTATCTGAAACAAAGAAATTATGGCATAAAGAAAGGGGCCTGTACAAGAATACAGAGTAAGTGGTGGGGTGAGTATTAAGATCCATGTTTCCCGACCGTCGCCAAGACCACATCCTTTCCACCACACCTAACGCTGCAGACAGAAAACTGCAGGAGACATGATCATTGTCATTTTTATGACCACTTCCACAGCTTGAATCTTAGGATATGAAAATATCTTCTCACGGGACAGGGCCCAGAAAAACGTTAGTGCCAGTAGTGAGGAGAGCTAGTGAAGTGGTGGCAGCAGCTCCCTAATTAAGAGTAAACGTGTCAAGAGTTGACCAGGGCTCAGCAGCATGCAACTTAGGCAGAGAGGCTGCCAGAGTTCACAGAAAGAGAAGACTGAGGAACTTGAGAACAGAAGTAAAGAAACCAAGACAGGAGCAGGATAGGAAAGGAGTGAAATCACACTTGAAACTGATACTTTATATCTAAGGCAGGTATGAAAAACAAAATTCTTTGTAACATTGACTCCAATTTTGTGAGCAACTTCACAAAGAAACATAGGACACACTCTTAGAAAAATCGCTGTTCATAGAGGAATATGCATGAAAGACCAACTCAGATGATGATCATCATAGTAGCAGCTACGCTTCCTGGGCAGTTACTACGGGCCAGGTACTAAGTATTTTCCATATATTAACTTATTTAATCCTTATAACAATCCTGTGAGGTAGCCAACATTACCATCCCTATTTTATAGATGAGAAAACAGAAAGGTCAAGCAACTAGTCCAAGGATTACACAGCAATTAAGTGGTAGAGCCAAGATACATGGCTAACGGAAATAGATTCTCTAAGGTAGTTTTTTATATAGTGTAATCTTCTGTCAGGATCCTAACTAAAGAAATGATTATTTAAGTATAACTGGGCCTGTAGAATATCAGTAAATGAAATGTTTAATCCATTAAATATTTTCCTTATAGAATCTCTATCTGCAGAAGAAGTTCAAAATATGTAACATTCAAGCAAATTTTGCTGGTTTTGTTAAATGCTGTCTTTGGAAGAAGAACCAATACCCTCAGGCCAACGCCATACCAATCAATAAATTTTTGTAGTAGTAACTGGTAATAGCAACATTAAAGTTAGTCCCAACACAGAGACGAGGAACAAAGAATAAATGCAGTAGTCTGGACCCAAATAGGACCAAAAAGAAAGATAGTGCCTGCAATGGGAATAAAACCTAAAATTCACAGCTCCTACTCCCTTCAGATAATGCTTCTTACCCATTTAATTAAATTATATCCTAACCTCTACTGCTTTATTAGGGAGCTGTTTATCAGTCCACTGTTTAAGCTTGATGTCCACTGTAGTATTAAAAGTTCCTGAATTCATGGTCTGTGCAGCTGGAAGATAGATGTTTTCAATCACATGAGTGGATACTCTTTCCCACAAAGATTGCTGAAGGATTTCCTCCCTGAAATTATAAAAAAAAAGTATCAATAACACCAAATCTAAATATAATATTAAGCTTTTAAAAACAGCTTAACTGAAGTAAATTTTATACTGTATTAACATACAATAAACTGAATATATTTAAGGTTTTGAGAAGTTTTGACATGTACATACATCTGTGAATCTCAGAAATCAAGATAATGAACATATTCATCATTCCCAAAAGTTTAACCACTGCATCTACTTTCTGTCACTAGTTTCTTTTCTAGAATTTCATATAAATGCAATCATACATGTACCCTTTTTTGTCTATAGTCTTCCACTCAGCACAATTATTTTGAAATTCATGATGTTGTTGTGTATATTAATATTTCACTTTTTATTGCTATATAGTATTAACATTCTATTGCATGAATTTGTTTATCCAGGCATGTGTTGATGGCACTTGGGCTATTGCCTGTTATTGGCTATTACAAATAAAGCTGCTATGAGCATTCACAAACAAGTTTTTATATGGAAATATGCTTTCATTCCTCCTGGGTAAACATCTAAGAGTGGAATAGCTGGATCATATGGCAATTATACGTTTAGCTTTTTAAGATACTACCAAACTGTTTCCCAAAATGGATGCACCATTTTACATTCCCACTAGCAGAGAATGAGAGTTCTAGATCCTCTATATCCTTACCAACACTTGGTGAGGTCTGTCATTTTTAATTTTAGCCATTCTAGTATGTTTATAGTGGTATCTTATTGTGGTTTTAGTTAGCATTTCTCTAATGACCAATAAATCTGAGCATCTTTTCATTGCTTGTTTGCCCAGTATTGAAACATACTTTCTATGTGTTTACTGTGGACTCCAAGACTGAAAACTTCTTGGTATAATTTTTATAATTTATGAGACCACAGCACAAAGCATACAGATGTTACGGGGATTGCTAGATAAAATTTTTCAACATTTCATGATTAAGGGACAATACAAAAGATATATAATCATGATGAAAATTCTACTTTAAGAGACATCTTACAAGAACACAGACCACTAAATAAGAAAAAGACAGCTATTTCAATTAATGAAAAAAATTGAAATCTCAAGAAAATATTTATTTGGGTTCTCCCAAAATAATTTCCACTGTAACAAAATACTACAACATAAAAAAATACTCCGCTCCTGATGTGGTCAGTCTTAAGAGTAACCTCAACCTTTTAGGATGCAGCTCAGGGTAACAATATCCCTCCTGTCCAGAAGCCAAGCTGAACTCTGTTTGGAGAGGAGAGTCAACACCCCCTTCCCCACTCCAAGACTACTTACTAAACATTTTGTGTTAAATTAAGTCTATTGAATCCATGAGTTAGTTTCTCCTTGCTAGCTTTCAGGTCATTTTTCAGTTACAATCAGAAAAAAGAAAGTATAAGTAGAGGATATACCACTGGGGCCCAGAAGGACAGAGATAATTTAGTCACTGAGTTAATAACAGAGACTGAGAGAATTTAAGGAGCGAGATGGAAGACAAACAGCTTGCCAGGGTTTCCTAGTCAGATACCATTTTAAACACAAACTCAAGAAGATTTCTGAAAGCTGAACAGGATCCAGCCCCTGACTACTGGGGCTTTTTTCTGCTCTTGCCTCAGAACAGGCATTGGTCTGTTATTTCTTCCTAGAAGTCTGTGGGCCAGGAGTCTATATCCTAGACACCCTTTCAACGAAACCATAACGAAAATCCAGACGACCAAATTCTGACCAGCCTAAAGTAACATTCTCAAAGGAGGCTGCTGCATTCCAACCCACAGAGGTGGCTGTTGCCGAGCCTCTCCTGCCTTTTCATCGCCAAGCTGCTGTTCCATGTTCCAGACTCCCACTGCTCCCTTCCATCACAACAATTTTATTGTGCTCTCCATACCCTGTTCTGTGACAAATATTCCTTTTATCTCCAAACCTTTTCTGGCTCTCCTTAAGGACAGTGATTGTTCTCAAATTCAGCTCAGTAGAAGCTGTTTACTAGTTGAATGGACTTCAGAGTTAGGAAGTGGAAGCTACCTCCTCCTCACTCCATAATCTCTCTTCCGACCGTCCTTCCTCAACTCTCACGTAAAAATCCCAGGACTGTGAGGCCACCCCATCTGGTTATAACATCTGCTCTCCTTACTTATTTCTATCATCTACGAATTTCCCCAGCCTATGTTCTATATGATTACAGACATCTTTTCTAGCCTAGGTTTTGCCACCAACCAGGGATAACTTCCACAAATATACAAAGTACAATTAACATTGTAGTTTTATTACCCCAGGAACTTTACCTACACTCCATTTTAATTAAAAAATACTTTTCAAAATGGAAATTTTTTCTTTTAAAGCAGAGGACTTACTCCATGTAATAATTTCAACCAATACAGAAAAAGTAAGAAGTTCCCCATAATTCCTCTTTCAGGAGATAACCATTATTTACAGCTTAATTTACCATTAAAAGAATATAATGTCTATATAAATATTTGTGTGAGTGTATGTATTTATAAGTGGCTTGTATTATACATACTGTTTTATAAATATTTTTTAATCTAAAAGTATACTGCATATAGTTTTCCATGTCAACATCCTATATTTTTCAGTTGCTGCATAGTAATCTGCTCTATGGATAAACCAAATACCATTGTAACTTGTTTTCCACTTTTTTACATTTATAAACAAAACCAAGGTGAAGAATCTTATGTGTTCATCTTTGTCAAGTACATCTTCATTCCCATATATTCCGAGCCATGTAATTACTGGATATAAATGTACTCACTATTTATTTAACGGGCTCTTCTTCACACCTACACATCCAATTACTAAAACCTGTCAATTCTGTCTTCTGGATAACCTCTCAAATATCTCAAAAATCTTTCCTCCTCTACCTGCACCATCACTATCCAAGTTCAAGCCACCATCACCTCTTGCCTAATTATTACAACAAGTGCTTCCTTGCTTATAGTTTTCTCCACCTGTATTCCATTTTCCATACTACCAAGATCTTTCTAAAATGCAAATCTGACCTAATCCTCTTTAGTGACCCCTATTGCTCACAGAGTAAATTTTAAGCTTCTGAACATGGCTTTTAAATCTTAATAATCTTGTTACCTCTACTGTTTTATCTCCTGCCTCTTGCCTCCATCTATGCTAAAGGCATAGGACACATCTACCTGTGTTACCTTTCTTGTTCTCACCTCCTGGCCTTTGCAACTCTCCTGCCTCGGCCTTTACCTTTTAAATGTCAGATTATGATATCACAAATCTATCTTTGATTTCTCAAATCTGAGTTGGGGTACTTGACTGTGCTTTCCCATTTTCCTTTCATTCTTTTAAACTAATTTAAAATAAATGTAATACTTCTCTCCAAACATTGCATGCATATCATAGTACCAATTTTTTTTTTAAAAAGCATTTCTAAAAAGCTAGCCAGCTATTCTTATAGAAAAGATATGTCTACATTGATGGTCACATAATGTTATGATATAGTGCCACCTCCTACTTAATATTAGCTAATTGAATCTTGAAAACCAGGTATATTGTGCAAAATGCAAGAGCCTATTTCTCACTATAATGCATTATATGTCAAATATAAACCCCCAATAACATTCTTAAAATAACTAAAGAACAGAATGTCTATAAATAAATAAAAAATTATCATTGCAAGACATAAAATGCTTATAACACTGCTGCCAGATCACCAAATGTAAATCAAACAGTCCTGTTACTTAAATAATTATAAACATTCTCGGCATGTGTCCTAAAATACCACATTCAGCATCATGAAGTAAAAAGATACCAATAAAAACTCCTAAGACAACATCACCTATGTCACAAAAATAAAATGTTTTGGGTGGTGCAATGTGTGTAAATTCAATGTGGCATGAATAGTTAACGTAAGGACCTGCTATTCTGATTTATGTTTGTGTTAAGCTTTTGAGTCTGAAAAAAAAAGGCAATGAAAAGATCGAGAATCATGTGATCTGGCAGCTCACAGAAATCAATCTTGAGCGGCCAGATGTCTTAGTTCTCCCTTGTCTTTTCAATGGGCAATCTGGCAGTACAGGTTTCTTATCCCTTCACAAGCCTTTCAGCCACCTGTGTATTAAATAAATTAGGTTTGTCTTCGATGGTCACTTTAGTGGAGGAATATTTTGATCTCAGGATTGCTCTGTCCAAACAAAACTAACCTTTCCATTTGTTGATGTTAGAAATTTACAAAGGGATCAATTTTTCCTCCTATAAATAGCATTATTAGTTGTTATACTTCATAAATCACTATTTCTGTACATTACCCTCATACAACCTAGGCAAGGCAACAACTAGTATTATACTCATTTTATGTGGGACACACAGAATGAATATAATACTAGTTGCTTTGCTAGGTCATTGCAATAGAGATATATCTATGTATGCATGCACACACATATGTATATATGCATACATACATGTATATATGTGTATATATAATACACACACATATACACACATTTTTATAATCTATATGTCCCCTGCAACTTTAAAAGCTAACTGACTTACATGAAGCCATAGAACTGGCTTAAAATACAAATAACAAACATAAGTTGTGTTACATATATATTTGATTAATCAATCAACAAGTATTAACAAGATCAGATCTCTTTTTGTGGATAAAGAAGATTAAAAATAGGCAAATGCTGACTACTTCAACACTTTGGAAGAAAGGGCACTGAGATGAAGAAACCAGTGATATCGAATTCAAAAGTAAGGACTAGATACTATTGTCTAGGCTCAATTTTGATACCCTTTACCTGAGCACATAGAAGTAACATTTATCATAAGTGGCAGTAAGGATAGTTCTGCTCCATGAACGATAAATTCTTAAAAATAGTACCGACTTTATTAGAAATATAATTTATGCACAAGGAATTTGTTAATTAAAATATGTCTGCAAAAATTTCAAGGCTATTTATACACAGCTTGTTTGCAATACATGGAATCTATTTGGTTATAGTGCCCCATTCCAACAAATTTAAGAATGGCCAAATTTACATAAAACATAAATTGAAGGTGATAGTTTGACTTAAAAGAAATTTGCATGAGAATTTTTCAAAACGATGCATTTACTTGCTATTTAAAAAAATCTCAAATATGATTCAATTCAAAATGTGATTTATACACAACATATTAGGCACATGTCACAGAAAGTAGTAACTGTTCTTACTCAGGAACAAGAACTTGAAAATACATACCATTCTCCTTTTGCAAGCCAATTTTCTCTACAGTTTTGTTCTCTGTGATTAATCCAAGAAGAGCAACCAGTTCTGACAGATGTTTAATATTTATATAAAGCACAATTTGGTAAAATTTTGCCTAAATGATTTTATGGAAATGATTATGTATTTATTAAGTATAAGATAAAGAAAGGCCAAAGATGAATCAAGATTTAAAAAGGACATGGAGAAAGAAAGCTATCTTCCAGAAATTCAACTGGTTAGACTACAATAGTGGTTAGATTTTGCAAAAAGACATACTTGCATGTTTTTGCCTACTTACTAAGTGCTTTGAGGGATGAGCCAAGGCAACACTAAATCACTGCTTTATCAATCTTAGTTTTAGTATTTCATAATAGCTCATACAGTAAAGTGTGTGAGGAAAGAGATTAATATCAAAGTCAAATACTCACCAATGTTTCGGTGTAACCTGGCTCAGACTGATAACTTCATCGAGGATTTCATTTTTAGCCTTTTCAAATAGTTCATTCTAGGCAATATGGATACAAGTAAGTAAGATTTCCATAAGACAGTAAATCTGCCCTGTCATGACGTTCAGAGACAGCTAGTAGGCTAAGTTTGACTTTCAATATGCAAGACTAGAAAATGCTCTTCTGGTCTCTTTTTTAGGAATGCCATTATCCAGATAAGGACAAAGAAACTGACATAAATCTCCACCTTATTTACTCAATTCTGAATGCAGTTTTTCACATAATACTTGTTCACATAAGATTTTCACATAATCTTATGTGAAAGCATCAATACATGTTAATTTAGTCCATCAGTAACAGTAAATTAATGTTGCGTTTTACAACTAAAGGTCATTTTAAAATCAAGGAAAAACATCATTTTAAAATCAAAGAAAAACGATATTTAGTTCCCACTAAATTAGAAATTCTCCAAGGTAAATGCTTAATTAGTAGTTCTCTAAGGTAAATGCTTAAGGTAAAAAGTTGATATAAAATTTAAAAAATTGTAGATTACATGAATACATTAATTCTATAAGACCTTCAAAGAATATTCTCAGAACTAACATTTTAGACACTTGCTTTGACATCTTATGATCTCTAATTATCATTTTTGTTTGTTTGTTT